ACCTAAAAATGGAAATTATCTGGCTTCCATAAAAATTCTTTAAAAAATTTCGCCAGAACTATTTCGTAAAACAAAATGCATCATATGAATTCTGCCAAATTTCGAAGTAAATTTCGTCTTCATTTTTATCGTGTAAAGTTCACCCAACGTGAAAAAAAAACGCGTTTTAAATGTCAAGTTTTGTAAATTTCGTCCATTTAATTTAAATCAGCTTCGTATCACCTCTCATTCTTTTTATGCGTTTCTCAATGCGTTTTCGCGTGATTTTTGGCGCTCGATTGAAAGTCAGGTATTTCTCAGTTTTGCAGAGGCGCGGCAAAAAAAACCAATCGACCATTGACGCTAATAAAAAAATACTTTCGTGATCAGCGCACCTGAAGCCAATCTGAACACGATCTGCGCGACTTTCACGAGCTCTTTATTTTTTTTTCAATTTTTAAATTTAATAAACGGTTTCCCATGCTAAATTCATTTTTTTTGCTGGCCCAGTAATGGCTATATTTAAGTTTATTTTTTCAGAAGGTCCTTTTTTGGTATTTGAATCTTCCTTAATCTGTTATCTTTGCATCAAAAAGCATTTTTGATTTTAGCCCGGGATATAGTTTCTCCATTTTTTTTGAGATGGGATGTACTTGCTATTTCATTTGTTTACATGTTCGCGACTTATGTTCAGACTGTTTTGATTTCGATTCTAACTTTCAAGACTAATTGCCTCGAGACTTTTGAAACTCATTTAACTCATTTCCGGGCAGTTAAGGTATTTTTTTCAGATTATAATGACCATATATTTCTAAGTTTCGAGCCACTTTTTCCAACTTCCGCGACAATTTTTAAACTCTAACTTTTAAACTAATTTTTATAATACCCCGATGAGTTTTTAGACTACAGAAAATTCCAGATTATCTCGACTATTTAAGAGACTATCGCGACTACTTTCCCGACTATTGTAACTTTAAGGCTATATGTGCTGACGTTGTACGCGACTACAAAATTAACCAGGCTGAATTTTTGGTTGAGGAGTGAAAGACGGGGCAATTTTCAAAATCTGGAAACAAATTTCATTTTCTGGACCTCCACTTGGTGGTTCCTTAAGTAACCTTTTTCATTTATTAAGCAAATTCTTCACAATCTGAGGAGCAGGTTAACAGATAGTACCCAAAAATTATCATCTTTTTTTCATGTTTATGAGATTTTATTTTAATACATTTTATTTGCCATTTTAGCTTTAATACTTTCATTTCATTGAAATTAACTTCAGTAGTCATACGATCTTATTTAAAAAGAGATTGACCTTAAGTGTCTGATCTAATCTCCATTGAACGAGCAGACATTCAAACCACATCAAGAATTTTCATGTACTCGTGCACGTGCAAACCTTTTTACGAAGCTAGAACCGAGCTTGGCTTCTCATCTGACAAGTTATAGATGTAAACGTCTGCTGTCATAGGTCACGAAGGTATTATGCCAGTTAATATTACAATCGTGTTCAATTTCAAATCAGATTTGTGACCTTTGACTTTTGTACCATTTGATCTTTGCTGCAATTTTTGCTTTCGACGCACAAAAGTGTGCCAGAATAAGTCTGATTATTGCTAGCACACCTTGCACCATTCAGAACGCAGTAAAAAAGAAATAATAAATGTGTAGCATAGGTGATTGTGATTTTACAAAAAAAAATGTCATTCTTTCGCCACATTAGGTTTTTGTTTCTAAAGACTTTCGAAGCCCTGCTTTGGTAGCGAGTTATCATGATGGCTAGCAAATAAATTCAACCGGTTTGATCACACTCAAGGAAAAGAAAAGCGCATGGTGGAACTTTTCCGCTAGATTCTAAGTTCCATAAAGTTAAACTCGGAAGGGTGCAAGTGTGGAATCATATTGGAGTTTTTTCAGTCGTGATTCGGATTTCAAAGAAGATAATTCAAAAAATTCTCTTAACTTTCAATTTCACTAGTAGCTGAATTAAAAAGAGCACCTAGTGTCATTTTTGACATAGACGTTGCAGTTGCATTTTTTGACTAACTGTTATGTTACTAATTTATTCATGAGTCTCAATTGTGCTATAATAAACGTTAACTGAGAATACCTGGTTTGACAAAAAAAGCTTGTCAAACAATTTTCTTATATGAAAAAATGCACATCATACAATTTTATACAATAACATGCGCTGAAAAAATTTAAGAAAACTCTACAATTAACATTTTCTGAAAACTTGTTATAGTTTTCAGAAAATGTTAAAACTTGTAATAACTTTATAATAGTTATTATTCATTATATGAAAATTGTATGCAAAACAATTTACCATAACAAAAAAATGGGTTTTGCTGTCATTTTTGGTGTTTTGTTCGAAAACACAACTAAAAGTTTACTCTTTTACGAGAAAACCCATAAATTAAATGGCATAATGAATTGCACAGATACGCTGCGTTTGAAGTTATGCCGAGCGAGTAGATGTATTAAATCTCAACATTATAGGTAGAAACTGTACCCATTTGTATATGGCTAGAAAGGCATTTATTCAAAAAAAACTTTGTGCTTAAAAATTGTGGCCTATTTTTGACAAAATAAAATTTATCTTATCATACAAAAAAAAGAAAAAAATTTCCATTTCGATTTACAAAAAACTCAGTCAACTTGCATTTATTTGTGCAAAAAAACTCAGCCTGGATTTCGTTATAGACAAAATGCAAAAATTTTTGCATGCAAAATTTTGCTTACGGAAACTATTTGCTTGCAGCATATAGACATGATTTTGCAACAAAAAATTCCCCGGATATTTGGAAAACTGTATAATTAGTATTTTTCGCGTGGAAAAAATGTAAGACAAGAAATTTTGGTTGCATGAAGTTGTATGATTATCATTTAATGTGCATGGGGGTCAATCCGGGTAAGTACAAAATTGTACAACATTTGTAGAGCACGGGCAACCAAATATTCTACATATTTGGCTTCGGGGATAGTAAATTTATTCTGCATCCTCTGATTTACCCCATTGCCTTTTCGTTTTTATTTGACGGTTTATCCAGGAGGGTAACAGCATTTCCAAAATGATTAAATTTAAACAGATTGTTCCTGTTTTCGAAGAAAGTGAGCTAATATTTGTGCTCGGGTTGGTTTTTATTTCTCCAGACCAATTTTGATTTTTTAACTTGAAATTTTTGACGAATTTTTTTTATATATCATCTAAAAGTACTGATGTTTTGATCACATTTATAAAAAAGATAATTTTCTTGTCATCATTGTTGGTAATATTTTGACAGTATGAAGATTGCTAATTTGGGATAACTACCGTGCAACATACCGCGTCCATTACAACCGCGTCCATTAAAATGAATTGAGGCAATCCATTTGGTCTTACTATTAGAATACGAGACGCTTAAAACATAACTTCGTACTAGACTTAGCGTTGGGGGATAAAACGAAAAAAAAATGCAAAAAATTTTTTTCACTCACTTCAATTTTGAAAAAAAAATTGACATAATAGTGCAGTCGCAACATCGAGGGCTTGGCCCTGTTATACAAGCAGTCTTGCTCTAGCCTTTTTCATGGGAGGAGCAGACACTGAAATACTGTCGGAAAAGCAAATGAAAACCCGCAAAGGAGTTTTATTACAAAATAACATCATATCGCGGCTGTTTTGCAAAATCTTAAACTTTTTTCTTGCCTGTTAAGACAGTCCAAAATATTTTAAGAAAATCTGATTCAATGCATTTTTAAACCCCGAGGATACCAAAACTTAATCATTTCTGCAAATAGATTTCGATTTTTGAAATTTGAATTTCCTATGAGCTCCATAACGTAGATTAATCTTTAACTTTAAATTCGGAATAAAACATGAATCGGACTTCAAAAAGAATTACAACGTTATTTTTTTAATTGTAATATTTCAAAAAAATTTAAATGTAAAAGGTTTGATGAAAGCATTTCTCAGAAGAGAAGTATTTTTACGTTATTTTACTTTCACAGTTTGAACAAGTTTATCTTGTTGTTGCTATACTTTTTGATTTCCAAAACAGAAAATTACAACCTAATTTCAAACACGCCAACCAATTTTTAAAAGTTTCAACGATTTTAAAGAGGCCAAAAACTACAGCAAACTTAATGTTATAAAGAAAAGAATATATCATTATAAGGTAGTTTCAATTTTCAGAATCTTTAATGATTGATTCTTCATTTGCCTCACTTGCGCACTTTGAGAAACTGGATTAATCGGTCGTACAGAATTTCCCAGCAGTACAGAATTTCCCACTTTCTTCGCGAAAAATTCAAGATTTCAAATCATTTGAATTATGATAAGTGCGAGTATACGTTCGGATTAATAGGTATGCAACACAAAAACATGCTAGGTTTTGTTGGGTATATGGAATTTTGGTGGACTATCCAAAATTCCAAGTTTAAACTAAAAATTAATGAAGCATCGTAATGACTATAATACAGATTAAAAACACCTTCATCAATTGGGGTGAGAAGCTGAACTGATTATAAAAAACTTTTCTCAAGCCAGTCTTTTGGCGTACTTTATCATGTGAAAAAGTCAAAAAAAAATCAGACAAAAAATAATCATCTTCCTTTTTTTGTCAAAACACATTTCTCAAAAACTAAATAATTTCATCTTAATTTTACTCAGTTCAGCTCAATAATCATTTTCTTAATTGCTTCATTTTTGTTTCAAGTGACATAGGTCATCAGAATATTTATACAGCCATAAGTCATAGATCATGCACTGTGACGTACATAGATTTCATTGCAGAGTTAATATCACACTGGTACCGCTAAAACAATTTCCCTGAAATAAGAACCTCGAACCTGGTACGTAATAGGGCTCTTTTTCTTTCCCCCTCCACCTGCAAGTTTTTTAGAGTAAATTTTCTGTTCACATTGTCAAATTTGGCATACTGACTAATTAGGCCATGACAAACTATTAGTCTTCATACTGAACCTTGCAAAACCACTCGTTACACCATGAAATTGATACTTATGTGAGGTTGGGGGAGGGTGGGGGGGGGGGGGGGGTGAGAAAAAAAGAGCCAACGGTTGCAATACGGTGTTTTGCATTTGAGAGAAAGGGGTAGGCATTCGTTTTGTTCTAGATGAGGGGGGGAGGGGGAGGGTCACTGCAGGTACTACTAGTTGAAGTGTTCTATTTATGGCGATATATATTCTAAATAAACAGTTTAATATTATTATTGATATTAAACAGATTAATATTGGCAGATCAGTATGCGGAACTAAACTAAAACCATCATGAAATGAAGCAACACAAAGACGTCATTTTAAGCAGCAGTGTGAGTATTGCGAAGGATTGATTAATAGGCCAAAGCATTATTTCTACCTGCAAACCTGTATTAAAAAGCTGGACAAACATCATGCAAAGCTAATCTACATCCAACTTTTGTTTTCAGGGGTGGATTAGCAACCAAATAAGGTTTTCTTGTATATCAAAACCCTCAATCGCATTGAATTTTTACCATCGCAGATGGGTATTTTTGAACTAGATTGATGCATGTAGCAATTGAGGGTTTGAAAAATACGTTCATAACTACGAAATAGAAATAGACAAGAAGAAGGAAACTTCTGGCGGATTCGAACCGGTTTAAACCTTTCGTTTCTGTCAGATGTTGTTGTTTACAGGTTACTCGCTTCGAACTCGGTTCCAGTTCGTTCGTCGCATTCGATACCACATTCCACTTCGCTTTCGCTATTTTTACTTGACGACTGGTGGTGTTTCCTTTTCTCGGGCCTACAAAACGGCTTCTCACTCTCAGTTCGGTTTCTTCTCCCGGACACCCGAATGCGCGGAGATTCATGTCGGCGGCATGTTGCTTTCAGACACATCAGGTGTAAGAGTCCGATCAAAGACAACAGTATAACACAGGAACTGTTCAACACAGTCATGTATATCTTCCCCCGGTTTGATGCTAACATTATTACGATACTGATTGAAAGTATCATGAAGATCATCAACAGCATCTTTGGAGCATTTTTCTGAAAACACGATTTCCGAGAAACTTTGCTTTCAATTCTGGGATCTAAAGATCCACTGACCGACATAGAGGGTTGCTCCTCAAAATCTTTAGATTTGCGAGGTGCCGTCGAAATCTCGATTGAAGATCCACCGGGCGGATCTAGTCCAAGATTCATTTCTGAGTTGGACCCCTCAGAGGGTGTCCAATCTGAGAACTTCTTATCACAGCATGTAAAACAGTGGCCGAACAAGAAGACTTGAGTCGAGATGGCGATCATGAGAATGTATATCAGACATATTTGTCCGAGTGAGCTCCATTCTGTTAATATCGAGGGAATAACACATGCAAGTGTAACTGACACCGCAGTACAGTATACGATTGTCATAAATTTGAAGTCAATCGAAACTCTTGACTTGTCAAGTTTGGGTTTCAGGTTCAAAACCCAAATCCAAATTCCGAGGACCGCAAAGAATCCCATGGAGACCGAAAAGCAAATATCTTTGCCTATATCTACATCGCTCGGAAAAACAATCGCGACAAAGAATGATGCAAAAGCCGCAATGTTGTTGAGTATAACATGGCACAGGATTCCAGTTTCACTTTTTTGATTACCATCAGCTGGACTGACACACACTCGATATAGTCCTGTAGCTAACCCCATCAGCAAAACAGCTACTAACGCAGCAGCTGCAATCTTTACTTCGTCTATACTCGTTTTTGGCCCTCGTGTTTTAGAAGCTTCCTGTCTTTCAGTTTTGGGAATCAGATCTGGATTTTCTGTCATAGACAAAAATGCCATACTTTCCTGAGTCCTGCCTGGTTTAGAGATCCTGGTTTGCATCGTGGCAGGAGCAACGTCAATTGCCATGAAACTTCGGGTGAAGTGAGTGCTACATTTACATTCCAAGAACCTCGAGGGTTCAAAGTTCTCAACGATACATCCCGATTCCTGCAGGACGTTGTTTTGGTCAAGTCTGAAACATCTAGGGTCTTGTACTTGTTGACCTCTTGTCATCGGAATTATTACAGTCATGCTGCCCCACAAAGCATCCACTGAGAACTTGTCGTCTCCAGGAGCATTCAAAGTGATCGTCATAATGTCACTTGCAAGAGACAAATGGTCTTCCAGTTTGAAAGTGAACTCGGTTGCATCTCGATCTGTGATGGCGACTCCGATCTCCACAGACTTCCTGAAAATATCATTTCATATTTACATATTCGTTTAATTCATTAGTTGCGCTTTTCGTGCCCGTTTGAGTTGTTGTTAGCCCGGTACTTGGGGCGCATCCAGTATGCTCTCTTCGACTCAAAAGTTCTTTTTAAGAACATTTAAAAAGCTGCAGCGCTGTGTTGGAGGGGTGCAAAACGGATAGTTAGGGGGACGTTCTGGTCTATCCTTTTCATTTAAGTATTAGGTACGGATTAAAGCCAGATACTAATTGCGCCTAGTCAAGAGCATATAACTCTAATCTCCGAACGCGTTTTGTCTTGCCTTCCACTACCTTAATTTGCTAGCAATCTCGTAAGATTTACAGTACACTGGCACCATCAAGTAGATCCATTATAATTAATGGCAGACCATGTCGAAAGCTTTAGGCAAATTTAGAGCGACAAGAAAAGTCCCTTCGGGTGGTTGCCGTTGATTAAAACCTACACTTTTGTTAAACTGGAGAGTTGACCAAATCGTAGCTGTCAAGTGAAGAAGAAAACAAAGCTGATGCGCAGCATTTTTAAGGGCCTTCGTATAAGTTTGCTGGGTTAAAATGTCTAAAAATTGTATCACCGGACTTAAAACCATACAGGACGGCAAAAGTTTGATGATTTAACGTCTGATTGGTTACGTTAACGAGACGAACTTAGAAAAATTCCATAATTGTAGTTATTTGTTTGAACTTTAAGACAGGTTAAAAAATCCGCTGCAAAATCCATTATAAGAATTATGGGTTCTTAGTTAATTGTATTAGATAAAAAATCCAATTCAATTTTGTTTCGAATTCAATTTTTGAAGAAAAAAATAAAAACGTCATATCTAAGAAAACGAAAAGCAATGAGCAGTTAAATACGCAGTCCATATAAACATCTTGAGAATACCTTTAGCACCCCGCCATAGGGTTGAGTTTTTAAAACTTGATGAAATTTTATAGATTGATGAATTTTTTTTGAAGCATAAAAAACGGCATATCTCAGAAACTAAGAACATTCGAGCAATGAAACTAGGAGGCACAATCTGCAAATTATGAGAGTACCCTGAATCCATCCCACTTAGGGATAAAAAATTTCAAATTTTGAATGTTTTTTTTTTAAATTCAATTCTAAAAAAAATTGAAAAATATTCAGAAACGTCATATCTCGTAAGCTAAAAGCATGAGGAGTCACCTTCGGAGGCAATGTTTGAAAACCCCTGAGAGGAGAGTACGGCGACAGCACTTCACAACAGGGTTGACAATTTCGAATTTTAGAAAATCTTTTTAAAAAATCATAAAGTACGTCATATCTCTGAAGTTAAAATTTTTAGTAGTCAATACAGATGTAAAACTTGCAACGCCTGAGACTAGCCTAACAGCACCTCCTTCACACAATGAGTTGAAAATTTCAACTTTTTTCACGCTTTTTACTTTAAGTCATTTGAAAATTTATAAAAATAAACGTCATATCTCGGAAACTAAAACAATTTCAGCAGTTATATTTTGAGGCAAGATTTGGAATCTTCCCTGAGACCTCTCTGACAGCACCTACAAGGTTGAGAAATTCATTTTTGCCAAGTTTCTATATACAAGTTCTTTGACAATTTTTGAAAAAAAAATCAGAAAAAACTTTATCTGCGATGCTGAAAATATTAGAGCATTCATATTTGGAGGCAAGATTTGCAAAGCTCGAAAATACCCTGACAGCAATTCACACTATTGAATTGAGAATTTCAATTTTTTTCAAGTTTTAATTACAAGTTTTTTGAATCTTAAATTTTTCCAACCTAATTTTTCACGCGAAAAAAAAACATGAATGAATCGTCGTATCTCGTAAACTTAAAAGTTTTGGCTACACATATTTGGAGGCCAAATTCGAACCACTAGGAGAACCCTGATAGGATTCCACTTACGCTTTCAAACTTGGCGACATAAACACTAAACAAGCTGGAAAATTGAAAAATTTTGTTAAGCATTGCAATATATGATATAGCTTGAACGTGCAAAAATTCTTCGGTTAAACATGCTAAAATAACACGTTGAAAAAGCTTAAAACTAGCATGATAGTGAAGCCTGCATTTCAATAAATAAAAGATAATAGATAGTAAGAATATTATCCCCAATGATGTTACCGAGGAAAATTTTCCAACCCTATAAAGGAATAACTTGATGATTAAGAATATTCCAAATTTGCACCTTATAAGGAATATTTGAGGGGCTGTTTCCCAAATTTCCCAAAACGCAATTTTTCAAGTCAAATTTATAAAATGGGATGATTCCTATTTTGTTGACAAGTTTTTGCTGCTACGTTTCAGGGATGATAGAGTGTAACGGACCTCCGACGCTTCAAACAGATGAATGAACGTATCAAGATGAATATAAATGAACGTGAAAGTTGTTTTTAGATAAAATATTTAAAAAACGAAATTAAACCAACAGTAAAATCGACGAAAAATCCATTAACGCTTGTGATTTAAATTTTGAACAATAAAAATAATTTTTAAATAAAATGGTCAAATCTCCAAAACTAAACGGTATCAGATCTTCATATTTTTAAATCATAAACGAAGCCCTGAAATGGCCGACAGCATACTACTGCACTTTCCATACTTAAAAAAATATGAAACGTCATTGGCAAAATCATCAAAATTATAATCCAACGTATTTATTTTTGCACAGGCAAAGTTTCGCTTCGCAAGCTCTAGTTTCGCTTCGCAGCCCGACAAAAGTTTCGCTTCGCAACCCGACAAAAAGCAGCTCTACAAAGTGAAATCTAAAAAAAATAGAAATAAGGCTCGAATTAGTAAAAAATCAGCGAAGTCTCGGATTTTATCTGCAACCTAGAGATTATGAGTCTCACGCACTAACCACTCAGCCACAGAAGCGTAATAAATCACCAACACAAGCTAAAAACACAGCAGAGAATAGACACTATTGCAATTTATAATGCTACAGATCGTGATCATAGCAGAAGAAAGTATCACCAAATAAGTACAACTTTTAATGAACACTTTTATTTGCGAATTAGGCTAGAAAAAAGCAGATGGGTTCTAATAAACTGCGCTGCTCGGAACTAGGAAACCAGCAAATGATTTGGTTTTGCATTTTAAAGGAACGTTTTCCTCGAGTCTCCTCTGAAAATATAGTTTTCGAATGTGGCGTTTTAATTTACATTTGTTTTAGTTCACCCACTAGCAACCAAACTGTGTTATTGAAGAATTTTGTGTAACATGCTCATTAAACTCAAATGTTGAGAAAAAAGGAAACTAATACTGTGCTAACGATGAAATGTAGTATGCGTTGAAGCTCGGTGGTTCTGAAATTAGTATTCGTTGGAGTTCGGTGGTACTGAAATTGAAATACTACTTAACAAATTCCACAACGAAGCATAACAGTAGTAGTAATAGTAAAAAAAAAACTCCAGTTTTCGAGTAAACGAGTTGCAGAGCAATTACATAAAGAGATCAAATTCAGGCTTCAGTGAAAATAAACAAACAAAGGTTACGTAGCAGTATTTAGGCAACCGCGTATTTATACTCGTCATTAAGCAGACAAATATTATATTAACCAATCAGAATCGAGATAGGGCAAACTGACGAATTTGATATATTTTTATTTCTTCAGTTTCTTTCTCATCTCGCTTCTGATTGGTTAATACAAAATTTGCCTGCTTACTGATGAGTATAAATACAGACCGCACCCCAAAAACAAAGATACTTTGTTTTGTTTTCTTCTTTCGGCAACCACAAGTATCTAACAAACACAAGTATCTATATATAGTCAACATTTTGCCTGCTAACTAAAATTTTCACACACTGAATCAGATTTTCAGAAAAATTAGGATTTACCGTGGAATTAAACTGTCATTGAGATGAGAAAAAACCTGCAACTTTGCTATGTCTAAAGACGTGGCAACCCTGCAAGTGTTAATGACTTGATGCTGATACCAAATTTATGAAACATGGCAGGTGTTTCAAAATGTTTTGACTATTTAGTTTATCCATATTTACGAGGCGAAGAGTTCATTGCAGTTTTTTGAGTCTCACAACGGAAAGATTGGTCTCACTTTCCATTGTGAAGGAGCAACTGGTTGTTTAATTAATGTTGTCAGATTAAACATTTGTCGCAAAAAAATTAACTTTTAAACATATTTATGAGGCGAAGAGTTCATTGCATTTTTTTGAGTCTCACAACGGAAAGATTGGTCACACTTTCCATTGTGAAGGAGCAACTGGTTGTTTAATTAATGTTGTCGTCAGATTAAACATTTGTCGCAGAAAAGTTAACTTTTAAACATATTTACGAGGCGAAGAGTTCATTGCAGTTTTTTGAGTCTCACAACGGAAAGATTGGTCTCACTTTCCATTGTGAAGGAGCAACTGGTTGTTTAATTAATGTTGTCAGATTAAACATTTGTCGCAAAAAAATTAACTTTTAAACATATTTATGAGGCGAAGAGTTCATTGCATTTTTTTGAGTCTCACAACGGAAAGATTGGTCACACTTTCCATTGTGAAGGAGCAACTGGTTGTTTAATTAATGTTGTCGTCAGATTAAACATTTGTCGCATAAAAGTTAACTTTTAAACATATTTACGAGGCGAAGAGTTCATTGATTTTTTTTGAGTCTCACAACGGAAAGATTGGTCTCACTTTCCATTGTGAAGGAGCAACTGGTTGTTTAATTAATGTTGTCAGATTAAACATTTTGTCGCAGAAAAGTTAACTTTTAAACCGTTGTATACTTAAAGCAGTCGCTGCCATGGGTTCCGAAAAATTAATTGATTGACAGGCGTTCACCAATTACTTAATTGATTGGTGAACAATCAATTAATTGCAATTAACTGCCAATCATTGGAGTTTATGAAATGGAGAAGAATTAATAACGCTTTTCAACAAATAATCGCAGCAGAATACAGCAACTAATATGACGCAATTCTCCGCATTCTCTGCTAATATGGCGCAATCAGCAACTCACAAGATAGCGAATGTAAGTTTGCTCAGCTG